AGGTTTTTGTGTGTCCCCATCAGCCTGACCCCTCTTTGTCCCCCTTAGTCTGACCCTCATTTGTTCCCCTCAGTCTGATCCCTGTGTGGCTCTTCAAACGCGTTAGTGGTTGATTTATGAGCCATTAAAGCTGTTTTGGTTCATTTATACATTTGGTCTGGTGCATGTTCTGAATTGCAGCTGCTGACTGAACACATGGAGAAACTGTCCAGTGAGGAGTTGGGGGTGCTCACCATGCATGTTGCAGCATACTTTATGGGGGCGCTGGCTGTGCTGGGGTGAGCTGATGAGGGCTGTGGAGGGCATTGCATCTGTGCCAGTAGGGTGAGGGGTAAAACACAGAAATACAGTCACATTGTTACACCTGCCACTGTTTCCATCTCCCAGTATCCCATGTATTAACTACAGGATATAGGATAGAATTTACATCTGTTAGTCTCAGTGAGTCCAGGTCCGCTATGACGTGTATAGACTCATTGCACACAGCGTCCTTGGAAATCATTTGTTGGCTTGTGAGGAGATTCCTCCAATGCCCCAAATGCTCTGCTTTCTACTGACGCCTCATGAATCACAACTGCTGCAGGATGACCACAAGTACTAGAAATCACTGTCACATCGACCGCGTCCCAGCGATGGTCAGGACCGTCTGCAGTAAATCTAAGAGAGAGAAAAATATTCTGATTCTTCAGAATACAGGAAACAAGAGTTCCTGCTATTACCTCATATTTTCACATTTCTCAGTTTAACATTTCAAACATCTTGACAAGTTTCTGCTGTCATCTTTGAAGCAGAACTGTGGCTGGTAAGTCCCGAGAAACACTTTTCCAAAATGTGTAAATGCACAAGAACAGAAATTTATTGTAGCTTACCCATCCTTAGATGCGGTGGCTGCATTAGTTTTGCTTTTTCAGGATTTTTTTCTCATATTTTCACCTGATGATCCTGCCAGTAACACTCCTGTCTTATAGGATGACTCCACTCTATGGAGTAACAGAGCCACCCTTAGACAGCAGCATTTTCACCCTGTGGGGAGGGTAATGTTAAATTAACTCTCTTCATGTTCTGGGGTGACAACACTCACTCACTGTACTGTATGGAGGAGCAGAGTGGTCACCCCAGGACAGGAAGTGTTAGAACTGTAGAACTGCTCTCTCTCTTCTTCTTCTTCTTCTTTATAACATAGAGAGGATGGGTTCTATAGTTTAGAAAGGTGAACTGGGCATGGCTGATTTCACTGCAGCAGAAACACTGTGGGGTTTAATCACAAAGCTAGCCGAAGGATCAGGCGTAGCTCCGGCTGATCCTTCGGCTAGCTTCGGACGCCTGAGCCCTTCGGTTAAGTAGAACCGAAGGGCTGCTGTACGGGCTATTCACTATAGCCAGTACAGCTCCCGAAGTTGGCCGAGTGGCTCGGTCGAGCTGAAGGCAGACTGAGCCGAGGTGAAAGCTGAAGCGGGCCGAACGGTCGGTCATTGGCCGACCGAAAGCCTGCTACTGACAGCTGGGCGGAGCCAGCCGTCATCTCGCGACTGGCTCCGGCCAGTTGCACTGACAGTTCAGCGTCCCCTGAGGGCTTTTTAAAAATGACAGGTGGGAGGAGTAAACGGCCGGGTCGGCAGCTGATTGGAGGGAGCTCCAATCCAGGAGACGCTGAACTGTCATTACAATGAGATCTCAGTGGAGCTAGCAGTGATATCATCGCCGGCTCTGCTGAGCTCTCATTGTAATGACAGCAGGTCCTGGCCAATAGGAAACAGTTGGGCGGAGCTAGCTGTCACTGCTACCTCCGCCCACTTGTTTTTTACTTTTTTTTAAAACTGTTTTTCTATTCTGCTCGGTACCGAGCAGAATAGCCGAGCCGAATGCAGAGGGGCGGCATTCGGCTATTCACTCACTGCTGTTCGGCCCCTATGAGAATAGGCCGAACAGCAGCCAGTAGGCTGCCGGAGGTTCGACTCAGCCGATCCAGATGTTGGATCGGCTGAGTCGAACTCCTTCTGCACTTCGGGTCGGCTGACCGGAAGCAAGCCGATGTGCGGCTGAAATCAGCTGTACAAGCCTGAAGTGAATAGCCAAACAGCATTCGGCTCACTTCACTTTGGGTCGGTTATTCACTCTTCTAAGCCGTTAAGTATTAGGTTTAAAGATCTATAAGGCTGATCTGGGGATAGGGAGGGTTGGGCATAGTCAATCCATGGTTGCCAGACCTTTGCAAACTTTTTATTAGTATCCAAAAGGATGCTGGTCAGCTTTTCGTTCAGACAAAAGAAATCTATCCGCCGTTTGACTTCATTGAATGATACAAATATTTTTTTCCAGGCGGAGGCTTTGTTTAGGAGCCAGTAGAATATGCGTGGCTAAACGGTGTTGGTTTTTAGTGCGAAGCGGGGACTGTAGTAAGGCCAGCCATGGATCCTTATGGAGTGTCACCGAAAATAATCTGTTCCACCACGTGTGAAGGACATCACCCTGGCATAGGCAGGCCCGGAAAACAGGAGGATGAGTGAGAGGGATGGAGATGAGCCAGTCTGGACGGTACCAAGTACCACCTCGTGAGGGATTTAAAAGCTGTTTCTAGTGAGGACATATTGATAGTACAGGTGGCCATGGAGGTCCAGATTTGTTGCCTAAATTAACACTTTTTAAGCAGTTCTAGCAACCGTTTTTCTTTTCTTTTGGAATAAAGGTTTTACATAAATTAATAAAAGCTGACCATTGTAATCACCCCTGTCAGTGGTAAATGGTTTGTCTCAACCCTCTATCTGCCACTTTTGCTGGACAGCTTGGCCTGGTAAATGAAGTTACTGACCAGGTGAAAATAAAGGCAAAAAGAAAATGAATGCTGCCTCCGTATCTAAGAATTAGGGATGCACCGTAATTTGGTATCGAGTACGAGTACCGATATTTTTTTCCCGGTACTCGCCGATACCAAATGCCGATACCGGAAGTCTCATTAAGGAAGCCAGGCGGCGTGTAAAGACTCGCCACCTGGCTTCCCGATTAGCAGGGAAGCCGTCCCCATGCTTCTCATCACCAAAGCATGGAGCCGGCTTTCTAGCCAATCAGGAAGCCGGGCGCCGTGTAATGATGAGGAAGCATGAAGCCGGCTTCCCGGCCAAAAAGAAAGCCGGGCGCTGCGTCATTACACAGCACCCAGCTTCCTGATTGGCCGGGCAGAGAGTCATTACACGCTGCCCGGCTTCCTGATTGGCCGGAAAGCCGGCTCCATGCTCCCTCGTCCCTTGTGACAAGGGAGCATGGAGTTGGCTTTCCGGCCAAACAGGAAGCCGGGCAGCGTGTAATTAATCGCTGCCCAGCTTCCTGATACCGGAAGCATCATGCTAGGCATCGGAGCATTTGGGCGAGTACTCTTACTCGGCACTGATACTGATACTAGTATCGGTATCGGTGCATCCCTACTAAGAATTGGTTAGCTGCAATGTATACAATGTTTGCTCTGGGGTTTACATGCACTTTAACTTATTAAACAGCTATAACAAAACAAAACAATTTCACTGGTATATTTAACAAGCCAAAATGAAGCAAATAGGTGACGTTCTTAGTCGGGGTTTACACACTCTTTACAAGTTATTTTTTCCTTCCACAGAACTAGTCAGCGTCTTTCCTGAGATGACACCGGTGTTATTCTATGTTTGGATACAAACAGCACTTAGCAAAGTTCTTCTTTAATAATTTAAAGTAATTAGAAATGTTTTCTGAAGTTCTTTTTATCATGGCAAGTGAATGGTAATCGAATTCTTTAAGGAATGTTCGTCTTGAACTCCCTCCTGCTCCCAAGGGGCTCTGTACTAAGCGCTCTTCAGCATGAAGCTACCGATATTTTCCTAATTGGGCACAAGGGAAGCAATCTCAGAAAAAGTCATAAACTGACTGCTGTGCAGCGTTTTCAAGCTCGGGAAGGTTATTAGCAATTCACTGTTTTTGCTTCCTTCTTCCTGTTGACCTCTCTTATGGCCAATGCCGTTTTCTTGTAGGTGCCAAGGGGCCGAGGCATTTGAAATCCAGCATTCGGATCTCGCAAATGGAATTTTCATGAAGTTTTTGAAAAAGCGATTATTGGAAGATAAGAAAATCACAGTCCTCCTGGATCAGGTTGCTGAAGGTGAGCCAACATTTTATTGTTGCAATAAAGGGCATGGAATACAGATGCTGTCTGCATTGTTATTATCTCCTATTTATAGAGCAGTCATAGTCTCAGCACTTACAGTGACACTAAACTCAGGAGTTACCGTAAATCTTAAAAATGCATTAAAGTACTAATAACAAAAATGTATCTTATTTGTGTATCACTCGGCTGTAGATCCTCAAATCATCTCTGAATTGTGCTGACACTGTCCTTCCTTCTGGAGGGGGGCTACTTTTATCCCCCATGGTCCCTGTGTGTGTTGTAAAGTAGTTACCGCTCCAAGCTCACTCCTGTGATGGACTACAATCTCATGTTTAGTTTACTAATTTGTATTGAGATAATAGTTCATCACGGGAGTGAGCTTGGAGTGGTGACTACTTTACAACACACACAGGGACCATGGGGAACACAAGTATCCAGCCTCCAGGAGGAAGGACAGTGTCAGCACCTATTCCAGCTACAACTGGAACATCACTTTTAGACACGCTGACTTTTTAGGGAACAATATATTTCTGCTGAAAGGTCTTTGTTTGCAAATATACCATTCCAAAAACTGTCATTTTAGAGATATGCCTCATTTTATTTATTTTGCATTTCTTTCAGACATGGGACACTGCTCGCTCACTAAAGGAGTGCAAGCTCTTGAGATCTGCAGCAGTTTATCAGCCAGGAGGGCATTAACAGATCCCATACAGCAGAAAGCCTGCTCATCTGAATCTCTGGCACGAAACCTGCAGTGGTCAAATGCGAATGGTAAGTTGTCATAGCTTTCAGAGGCATTTTTGGCCCTGCAGAAGCAGTTCACTTCCTGACCTCTGAACCTAATTCCCATGGAGCAAGTACTCATTAGATTAGGAATCTTCGATACCAAATTATGAGAAGGACTTTTCTGAGCATTTATTCTTGGCATTGGGAGTCTGGCATTGGTAGTCTTTTGGCACAGGGCTACTGAGAACGAATAGAAACCCTGTATCTTAGAAATGATTGTAAAATATAAGTACACCCTACACTAAAGCCCTCCCTCAACAATTAACTCTTCCTGTCCTGAACACCTAACCAAACGAAACTAAACCCTTAAAATGAGCCATGTACGCTTATGCGCTCCCAGCACTTTTCCTCTTCCTTAAAGTGTATCTAAAGCCAAAACACTTTACTTAGGTTTGGACACAGTAGGGAGGGGTTAGCAACACTGTCTGATTTTTATTGCTGTCTGTGTCACCACTGGGGAGATTGTCCTCACTATTTGTCCAGGTAACGAAAAGTGAGGGAAAATCCAAAATGTTGTCAATGAAACAGGAATAGAGGGATGGTTGTAGTGGGGGCACTTGCTGCGGTGACATCTGTCTAAGAGAGTACTTCTTTCACTTTGAAGGTATTTCCTCTTACTTTCTGTTGTATCTACAAGACAGGAAATTAAGTGCAATTTGTTCAATGGAACCAGATACTAATAAAATATTATCACTTATCCTTCCCAGTCCTAACACTAAACCTATACCCTAAAAGAAGGTCTCAACATATAAAGAAGAACTCCAGTCTGCTGTAATCCCTATTTGTATACTCCCCTATGTCTACTGTGCCGCTTTCTTCCCTTATTTTAACGTTTAACTAAGGTTTTCACCAAAAAAAATAATGGTCACATGACTCTTGGTCTCTTTTCTTGCGTTACATTGGCCTGTGGGAGGAGTCAGGTGGAGCCAGAACATCACTGCCATCATGTCCACTCGAAAGTGATTGACATTCAGCAAACATCATACCTATCTAGCCTAATACACCCAGCTTTACCTAAATGTGAACAGTAGAAGACAGTAAGCCAGATGCTGTGCTACTTGTGTTTTCAGTCCAGATCACACTGCAAAACACAAGACACTAGCCTGAGATACCCTTCTGTACTCCCTCCTGCTCACGTATAAGTGTATATTACAGCACACGTCATCACGTAATACAATAAGGAACACAACAAGTCAATTCTACTCACTGAGAAGCAACACTGCAGTCACAAAGAGAACAATATAACAACTTGGAAGATACTGTTAGCTGCAGCTCAAAACTTCCAGGTAGGTGTGCAGAGGGGATGGGCTCTTCAGTAACTCTTTCTCATCCAGATAAAACTGGCTTCATGGAAGTTGTATGCACCACATAGGACAGAGCAGCAGTGATTGACAGCTCTGGAAGCCCAGGGGGCATGTCTAAAGCAGTCAGGTGGTCTTGTGGTTGTATGGGCCTCTGAAGATAGGCAGTATATCTGCTGCAATACCCTTGAATTTAAATTTAGAGGCACGCAGTACGAAGGGGAGGAAGAGAAAAAAGCAGCACAGTTTTCAAACTAACACCAGAGGAAGAGACTGATGGGACATTAACAGGGGGCCTAGAGTCTCTCTTTAAGCTTAACACTATCTCCACCCCCCTAACCCTTAAGACTCATTGAGATCCATGTGGTCTATTAAGTTGAGTGGTAACATGTGTTAAGTTAAGATATCCGATTCATTTCAGTGGGCTACCATTTACAGACCAAGAAGGACCAAAAATCAGAAATGCACCGCATTTTCCGACACGTTGTTGTGTGCTGCAACCATGTACCTTGGAGGTGCTTTGTCTTTAAATAAATGGCACCACAACACACTAATGCATGTCTTGGGCATTGAGGAAATGTGCATGTTGCAGCAACACACTGCAATGGAAAAGTATGAATGGGCCGTAGCACTTAACCTGTCCCTAAAAGGGATCAGTTACACTTATAGTGTAGCTTGCCCAGCCCCTGTCCCGTTTTATACTCACCTGTCCCCGATCCAGCGAGATATTGCTTTGCTGTGAGATGTTGCATGAGCTGGGCACTCTCCATTCAGTCCTATGGAAAGTTTGTACTCTGTGCTCCGGTGGACTACAAACTCTCTAGAGGTTTGAATGGGAGGGATAAGTCAGTGTGCCAATGCTTCCCCTTCAGCCTGCTCATTGGAACAATGCCTGCTCATTGGCACATTGGTAAATTCCACCCTGAGCTATCACCTTCCTGTAAGAACACCTACTTACCTCTACCCATCAGATTACAAAAAGGCATCCCAATGCAAGACTCAGTACAAACACAGATTTCAAGTAATTACACCAGCCGTACTAAGAAATTATATGATGATTTGTGATGGAATACATATGTTTACTAAAACAGTGTTTTATATATATTTTATATAAAATATAAAAAGTATATGTATATTGTTTTCTTGAGCTCATTCTATATAGTAATTGCTAACAATGACATAAAATTAAATGGCAGATGATTCAGATTGTAATTTTGGTCATGTAATACCCTTTCAGAGCTCCCAGAGAGCATCTGCATTGAATTTGACTGCGGTGTGAAAATCAAGCTCGGATTTGCTGCTGAATTCTCCAATGTCATGATCATTTACACTCGAATTGTCAGCAAACCCCCCAATATCATGGACTGTACAGCGAGCGTCACCGACTTTCCACTGGTAAGTGTATGCTACATTTCCTAATGAGATCTTCTGGGAGATGCTGAACAAAATACCGTGAAGCAGTAGCTGTATTTTCTTTGTAAATAAGGGAAAGGGAATATATATCATATTTAGGCAACAAGGAGATAGAATATGTGAACAATTAATGGCGTTGCACGCGGATAAATGGATGTAGGCAGTTGTTTGGTGAAAGAGTAAAACGTTGTGCTCATTGAGATTGCAGAAAAAATGAATATGGTCACAGATGTTCGACAGATCCATTATATGTGTTTATAGCAACATATAGTATGTGAGTATTATAGAGGATAGGGGTTATCTGACTGGTCCGGTGACATCATGGTTCCTTCCTCTTCTTGTCTGGCAGTGGGCAGTCCTACCTGCTTATGCAATGGTGTGTGACGCTGATCAAGGCAGCAGTACTGTGAGCCCAGGTCAGTCTGATGACCAGGGGGTGATTTCATGTCACCCGGGTCTCACAGGAAGGAGTTGAATGTGACTGGCATTCTTTCAATGCAAAAAAATAGCACTATCTAGCAGAGAAGCAGATTTTTAATCGGGGGCCTTATTGAAGGTAATTATTTCAGCAAATGCTACTTCAGCAAAAGATGCTTTTTTGTTCTTAACTGTGCTGCACTATTCATTAAAACAAAAACAAAAATAGCGGAAGTTGGTGTTCCTCTTTAAAAGAGAACTATGGCCCAAACTTTTTTTTGCCATAGTTCTCTTAAGGGTCACATATACTAATGTCCTCCAGTGAACCAAAACTCAGTATACAGTGCTAGAGCCGCACTGCAGCCGGGGCACAACCCGACAATATTGTTGGGATCCACACTGCAGCCTGATTGACCGCTGGCTCTGCCTCTGTAGAGGCAGATCCAGCTATGCCCGTCCCCCCCAGTCCATCCCTCCAGTCAGAACTGGAGGATCGGAGAGGGGAGAGGTAATCCCTGCAGGGATCGGTGACTGATAATCAAGACTCTCTGCAGGGAAATGATCGGGAACTGAATGATCAGCGGTATGTGATTGCTCAGTTCTCAATCAATAGACTGTTCAAGATGATGAAGGTTGAACCAGAAAGGTAAGTTATTAAGCATTTAATACAGGAAGCTGCTGGTTACATTTCTTTTATATACTGTTGACACAGTCACTTTTAATTTCATGTGTTTAAGTATAGAAAGCAATGTATATGTGTGCAAATCTAAAATTGGAATGAACTAAGTTTGCTTTTATGCAGGATTTATATGTGGACCCAAAAGAAACTAATAAGGGCACACCGGAGGAGACCGGGAGCTTCTTGGTGTCTAAGGAGCTTCCTAAACATTGCTTATATACTCGCCTGAGCTCATTACAAACACTAAAGGTCAGTATGGATAATAATGTTTAAAAAATGAACACCATGGTGGTAGGGCCGGATTTACTCTCTCTGCTGCCCCAAGGCCAGGTTCCTTAATGCGCCCCCATCCCCGCCAAACCCCCCAATGGAGAATGGCAACCAGATGGCGGCAGGGTTGGTTTTAATTTTTTATTCTTTATTTTTTTTACTTATCACTTTTTTTAATATTTTTTGCTATTATTTATTTTTTTACTTTTTTTATTTATCTTATTACCTTTTAATATTAATTTTTATCATATTTTTTTACTTTTTTTCACTTTGTTTATTTTTCTATTTTAAATATTTAATTTTTTATCAATTTAAAAAAAAAACATGTTTTCACTTAACTTCATTGCTATCACACAGGAGCTAACGACCCCCTGTGTGATAGCATTTGGAGGTGACAGGTTCTCTTTATTGAACCTGTCACCTCCAATACAGGAGTTCAGCACAGCAATGTGCACACTCCTCTGCTGCTCTCCCGTCTCAGTGTTAACATGGAGTAGAGCAGAGAAAAGACTTCTCAGCTCTGCTCCTCACTCTCCCTCCTGAAGAGAGGATCTCCATCTCCGAAGAGAGGAAGCCGGCGGGGAAAGAGGTAGCCGGCGGTGATGACAGACCTGCAGACTGCATACAAGTGATCTTGGCGACATCGCTGAGTCGCCAAAATGAGTGGTGGCTTCCCCGCCCTACATTTAGCCCCGCTTGCCCAAAGCAGGGCTAAATGTAGAAAACAACTACCGGCCCACAACCCGGAACTACATGTACGGGGCATTGGGAGATAGGAATTCCACACCCCAGCTGCCCCTCTACTCCCTGTTGCCCCGAGGCTGGGCCTCCGTGGCCTTGTGGGAAATCCGGCCCTGCATGGTGGTTACTTGCCTTAGTTGAGCAACATAAACTGTGTATTCACAATATCTTCGATTGTTTTGTATGAAGAAATGGCATTGGTTTTTTCCAGTGCCTCTTAAAATGTGAAACTTTCATGGAAAAGTAGTTTTCTTCTTTTGTGACAATAACCCACCGGGTCAATTCCTCTGTCTGGTGAGATTTTTGTTCTTTTTGCTATAGCTAGAGCTTGGCTTCCTGGTTTTAATGTTTAGAAAGCTTTCTCCATATTTCTTATACTTCTGGTGTCACCTCCTAGTGGATCAATATCTTGGCAATGCAAGGAAGAGAAATGGGGATGTCACAGCCAAGGACCTGGTTTGCGAGAAGCATCAGGCTTGAGGGATGTTACCCTGCCGGAGTATTTATTTCATTATAAAATGTCAGGGTAACAATGCAAAGTCTTGATACAAATGAAGATCACCAGCACTCGATGAATACTTGTACATTCTTGTTTGTATTTATTTGAAAAGGTGCGTCATGTGCAAAAACCAACGTTTCAGGGCCACGCAGTGTCCCTTCATCAGGGTGACATAGTGACATTTGGTCTTCATTTGTATCAAGACTTAGTATTGCACAGCGCCAACTGTGATCATAACAGCGAGCACCACCATTTACTGTATGATCCTAAAGCCCCGTTCACATTGAGCGATTTATCGCGCGGTAATTCCCGCGATATCGCGGCAAATTACCGCGCGATATCGCGCTCCAATGCATTTCAATGGGGCAAAGGGTCCTGCTGTCGCGGGTCGTGTGTCGCTACAGCAGGACCCTTTTTGGAGCGGATTTAGCCGCGATTCAAGCTTGCTCAATGCAAGCTTGAACGCGATATCGCGCGTCAAATCTCGCGATATCGCGCAATATGCAAATCGCGCGACAAACGCGCGATTTGCATATCGCGCAGTGGGAACGGGGCCTAAGGCCTCATACACACAGCTTAGAGTTGGCCCATATTGATCCGTGTGGCGTGCACGGCCATATTGGGACGTTCCGGGAAGGACAGGTGCTGCGTGTGATTGTACGCAGCAGCCTGTTCTTCCCTATAGGAGGACGCGGCTGTACGCTGCCGTACTACACATCCGTCCGGGTCTGGGTGTCCGTGCTCGGACGCAGACAGGATCCATCCTGTCTGCTTACGAGTACAGACACCCGCACAGGTGTGCACCTCGAGTGAGCGTCCAACCGCGTCCTCCCATAGAGAAGAACAGGCTGCTGCATACAGTCACACGCAGCACCTGTCCTTCCTGGGAATGGCCCGATAAGTCTGTGCACCCCGCACTGGATCTGTACGGGCCGACTCTAAGCAGTGTGAATGAGGCCTAAACTCTGTAAGGAGTGCAGGGGATACATCTGAACACTAAGGTAATAATGTAGTATTTTTCAGGACATATAAGCACCCTCCCCCTTCATCATGGCTTCGATTGCAGATAGCGATAAGAGCAGACTCCTGGAAGGTTGATGGGTGCTAGAGTAAAACTGTTTCAGAATTCAGCAGGTGGTTATTGAAAGGCTTTTCAATAGTCAGGCGCTGAAGCCTAGCACCCAAACCACGTTGGCTTGTTGCCATGACATTTTATTTTATATTAATAGTGCAGAACGCCAAAGTATCATCGCGGCACTCTTGCCGTTTCTTAGCTTCATAGATTTTATGAAAGGAGCCATTCTGGAACTCCCTAACCAGAGCCATTGTAGTCTATAGCACAGACTTTACTCCACTTTTTGAAATTCAACTAGCTTTCGATCCATTGACTCTTATTCGTACCCTGAGCATGACAATAATAACTGAGCAGGCATTTTTGTTGCTCATCTATGAGTCTATAACAGTTCTTAGTGAACCGCACCCAACTTCCTTCTACACATATTGCTGCTTGGAAGGTCTCACTTTGTAGATTTTCTACATAATAGAGTAGATAGGATCAGAGTTGTCTTGTTAAATCAGCAGAGATTTGGAGATGGATGAATTCTTACTGACTGGAGCCAGCGGACTCTTTTTTTTTTTGGCAGCAGGAGCATGTAAAATCTTGCTGCTGCTTTTTGAACTTACCAGGATGAGCAAAGAGAATAGGGTGCATCATATTCTGACTCCGATTGTTGTGATAGCGATATATCCCTAGCTGAGACCTGATATACTCACTGCGGACAATCCTTATCAGATAGCTGAACTCACCAAATACCGTTTCCATCCACAAAGGTGCTTTATTCTGAACATCAGGTTACAGCAGATGACAGGATACAACAGATGAATGAATTGTGGTATTATGCGGTCAAAAGATGATGCTTTCGTAGCGTACTGTGCAGAATACACGTGTCCCTGTTACATGTGGCTTGTTAGCTGTGGCCATGACACAGGAAGTACTGACCAACAAGAAGGGTGGAGCATATACACGCAGGAAATGTGTCGTAGATATTAGAGAAAGGAACATAAAAAACAGGTGCATTACCACAAAGGGTCACTAGATGGCAGCATATAACTTACTACAGAACAGTGGTTCTCAACCTTTCTAGGGCTGGGACCCCTTGGTAACATTTGCCAGGTTGTGGTGACCCCCAATGGTAAAATTTAGGAATGCACCAATACTAGTATCTGTGTGGGCTCCCAGGTGGCCACTGTGGGCTCATGTGAGCTCAATGGGGCTCTCTCGCGGTCAATCAGGCTCTCTGGTGGCCAGTGTGGGCTCTGTGGTGGCCAGTGGGGGCTCTTTGGTGGGCAAGCCGGCATTCAACTCCCCTCACTCCCGCCCACTCCCCTCTCTTTGATCCTCCTCGGCTGCCGGCGCGGCCGGAGAACTGATACTGCTGCTCTAGGAGGTGGCTGAGGAGCCTCTCGCCTAGCGCAGCACAAAGCATGTGGTAACCCCCTCAACAGTGGGTTGTGACCCACTTTTGGGTCGCGACCCACAGGTTGAGAACCACTGCTATAGAACGTCCATAGGCAAACTGATCTAAGGAAACAACTATATAAATTCTTATCTAAATAAAACTTTTATGCCCCATTGGGGCGACACACATCATCAATGTCAACATTCAGTTTAGCATAGTGTTTGTACATATGATGTCAGAATACAAGAGAGCATCAGCAATGTGCACCGAGCTCTTCTCTTTGTGCAAGGCCTAAAACCTAAGGACCATGTCACACTGGCCAGCAACTACTAACCTGCTCCTATAGTTTTTCTCCCTCACTTGCTAAAACACTGCAGACTCTAAATTTCCAGCGACACCTCACCGGTTCAACCAGCAAGGGAGCGACAACATTGGAGAAGGTAAGTGTTATGGCTGCCCTTTTAGTGATCCTGTACCTGTCCAATGGCTACCCTCAACCAGATCACCACAGTGACATAACCCTAAGGCTGGATGTACACATATTGAATGTCCCACCAAGCCCAACTTAGGTGCTTCTAGCTTAAACTTTAAAATAATTGAATGCACATGTGTGTGATTCAAATAAACAGGTCTAGTTTTCCAAAACCTACACAGGACTTCCAGATCATGAGCAAGCTAATGTAGACTACACTACAGACATGCAAAGAGATATTTGATGTGGAACTGAATTCTCCAAGAGCACAATGATTGGTCAGAGAAGTGCATGCATGGGTTATAACCAAGCTTGTCATTTGGAGTATCCATTTTTATAAATTGGACACTCATATCATACGAGTGAGGCAGTAATTGGCAGTTGGTGAAAGGTGCGTTTTATTGATGGAAAAGACTTAACACACGTTGCAGTTATTTTACAGATGAGATAGGCCTTTCTGATATCTGTTTCTCTATTCTTTTCTCACAAAGGAAAACCTAACCTTCATGGTCTGTCTCAACTACATGTATGAAGAATTTGAGGACATGGTGGAAGAAAAAAAGAAAATTGATGTGGGAAAGCCACTTGTAGCAAAATTAGACATTCATTCTGGACTTCGGTCCCTCTGTGCACAGTCCGGTCATCTACCTCACAGTCCCTGCCGCAGTCCAGATCCCGCCTCTGCAGCCCATGACTCCTCACGTGTTTTTACACAACCCCGATATCCACAGCCACATCATCACGTCCAATATTCACACATAAGAAGCGGCATACAGCCAGAAAGCCACCATCAAGACATCTACACAGCATATCCTCCTAACAGCAGGAGGAGATACTTCTCAGAAAATAAATCTCCGTGTAGCAATGTAACTATAACGGGACCAAGGAACATTCCAGAGGAAAGCACAGAGGAGAATGTTGACTTTGGTTATCATTATAAACTGTGAAAATACCCACTTAAATTATGTATTTTATTTTAGTATTTAAACTTGTCATGTCAGTATTTCCAAAAGGAGCTAATTTAGCGAATGCACATGAACATCCCTTTGGTGTTTAAAGAAGGAATAGCAGGTTGTATAGGGCCCTGCCATCTACTGCATTCTTATTTTGCTCCTCTTCACTACCATTTCCATAATGGGAATTGGGGGATGGATATGTTCTCTTCCATGCAGAATGGATCTGCCCTGCCCTGTACATTTAGTTTCATCAGGAGCGGATTGGGCACCGTAGGCTTGTGTCTTAGCGGGCAGTGGGATCACTAGAAATAGTGTTCTCATATAAGATTGTTTACACATTCTCATAATATTCTATGCTGTGATAAGACCATTTAAAAAAAAAAAAGGAATTGATTTGTGTAATATGACAGAGAGTCTGGTGGACCCAGTGTGTCATGGAGGGTGACAAGCAATTAACAGGCAAGACAGATTCTAGAATGTATAAGTCCTTGGAAAGATGGTCATAGCAAAAAGTAGACAGTGGTAGAGCCAGCAGTCTGATGGGCAGGTGCAGACAGACTCCAAGTTCCAGACAGGTAGACAGGGCGGTGACTGACAATAGCAGAGGTAACTGACGTTAGCAGAGGGAACAGTGATCAGCATAAGCACTGACAAGCTGAGCACAAACGCAATCCAAACAATCACATGAATAATCCAAGGCTTGAACAATGAGACAAGCCTCTATCCACAGCATGAGCAGAGTAACCAGTTCATTTGGTACAGGCTAAATGCCCAGCAGTCTATTTAGGCATTCTTAATAAAACAGGTGAGTTGCAGTGCTGAGTAATGGCTATCAGATAGCAAAGGCCTAATGATGATCATTTCAAAATAGAGGTTATTGCTTTGGTAGCCAAAGATTGTGTGAATACCGGCTCCAATGATGAAACTTTCATGTCTCTTTCTTCTTAGCTAGTCCTCTCATTCACATGCCACCTCTTTCACCATGGTCCATTGTGACTTCATTACTTGTACCTTCTGTCATTGTACCCCATTCCCTCATCACTCACATTACTTCTTTTTCTAATTCCTCTCACCACACTGTAGTGGGACACAAGGAATCTGCACTGGTTGCCTATGTGTTTTGGTCAATGTGGGCAATACAAAGCAATACAAAGATTATTAAAAGTGACAGTGAAATGGGTTTTTACTTTCATGGTCATTATTGTTGCTCCATTTTGCCATGATGTCACCGGACCAAGTCTGGTCACTCCAGGCACAGATTGAGCGATTCATTTCTCTCTGTTCTTCCAATACATGTTTCCATCTATTCATCTTTTTTCTCCGGGTATTTTTTTATTAAAATCCTTACCACACTGGCATCACTTTCTTACTACAACCATGAAATAGTTTGGCATCCTTGTATATGTCTGGCTAATGTCCACAGATAAGGGGAGAACTCAGCTGGGGGCTTTTGCCCCCTGGGCTAATAGGGCCCTCCTTACCGTGTTGTGATTGTAATGTCTTCCTTATATTGTAAAGCACTGTGCAAACTGTTGGCACTATATAAATCCTGTATAATAATAATATTTGTGAGATATGTTGGACTGATGGCCCTCAGTGGATTACTTTATCATTTAGATATCAGTCAGTGTGGCATTTGCAGTGATTTTAATTGATACGGCGCCATCCGTAGTCATTGCGAGCACCCATTTTTCCACATGGGAAGTCCGGTAAGGTGTGCTACAGGTCCTTGGACATTTGCAGTGAGTGACACGTGCTGGGCATTATATAGCTTATAGCTATCTGCTGTCTGATCAGCTCTGTCATCACAACATCTTGCAGAGGGAAGTCTTCTAGCACCGATATCCTTTGCAGCCCTGAAATGTTGCAAAGGAAACAGATGCTGAAAAATGTGAAACCATGAACCATGTCCTTTAGGAACACCCGTCTTTCACAATGCCCACCAGTCAATGCGGCATATGTGCAGTACACTTATTTTAGCCCACAAGAATCTATACCTACCATGAAGAGTTGGTATGTTTGCCCCCAGTCCTCCCAGTGCAGAGATACTTAAATGAACAGTAGTGGAAAGAGGGACACTTGTACTCATTATCATCTAGCCTTTTATGTGTCTCTCCTCCGCTACCTGATGGTCTCTCTTGTCCATTTAGACTCTTGCACCTATTTATGAAGTAGCACTGATCAATGTAACAGAGACATATCCAAGGATAAAAACTAGGGATGTTCAGATACCAAGTACCGTACTCGGTACAAGTACAAATACTTTTCCAGCTCCAAGACTAGACTAGAAAAAAATTCAAATGTTAGGAGGCAGCTGTCCTTTGTAAGGAGCACAAGGAGCTCCTTGGATTTGTACATCTATGTTTTAACCCCTTCGTGACGGGAGACGTACACTGTAAGTCCCGCCACAAAGGGACCAAATGACTCGTCACGTACACTGTACGTGACGAGTTATTTGCTGCATTAGAGGGCTGGTAAACGCTGAGACTCAGCGGTTACCATTCATTAATGGATTGCCTCGGTATAGAGGCATGCATTAATGAAAGGGTTTACCTTTTTCAGACACCTAATACCTTAATATCGGGTGTCTGAGAGTCAAAGCAGAGCGGGCAAACATGCCGCAACAGCCGGCATTCTGACAGCTCGTATAGATCTAGAGATATCTCTCTCGATGGTATACTGGCTTTTTTTTTTCTTTCACTTTCAGGAATAGACACATAATGTATCTATTCCTGAAAGAAGAATGTTTCAGTTTTCTGATCGTTGTTGGAACGATCAGAAAACCTTTAGGCCCGGTTCACACCTGGGCATTTTGTAACGCGTTCCTACGCTCTGCAAAACGCTCAAACACCGAAATCCCATTATTTCCTATGGGTATGGTACACACCTGGGCGTATTACAGGCCGTATGAACACGCTACAAAACGTCCTACGCCCAAAGAAGTACAGGAGCTTCTTTGGGGAGTTTTTGTCGCACATTTCCATTGGGATACAGCCAAGCAGCAAGTAGCCCTCGGAAACGCGTTTGTCACGCGTTTTTTTACCGCGAATCTCGCGACACGAAACGCGCATATTTGATACGTCTAGGTGTGAACTCGGCCTTAGTGACAGCTGAATCCTGAACTGCTGCAGGATCAGTGTCACTAACTTATTATTGGCTGTTCTGAAGTTTGAAGCAGCCGAATAATAACCAAAAATGTATTAATTTATCAAGCAGTAATAGTGAGATTAAAAAAAAAAGTGTAAAAAAAATAATAAATAAGGGACAAATTAATGAATGTATTTATTGCATTTTTTTTTTTAGCTGTGCTGGTTTTGTAAAAAATACTACAAATCAAAACTGGGAAAAAGGTGTTTTTTTTAAAGTTTTTTTCTCTTTTTTTATATTTTATTTGTCCTAAGTGAGGCGTTAGACACACATATGTGATATAAATATGTAGCCCTATCTGTCCTCTAAAAAACAATATATAATACGTGTGGGTGCACTTTGTAAGAAAGTATATTACTGACGTGGAAGAATCACACAGCAAAAATGTCAAAAGTGTGTCAGTCATTTACAAACAGAAACTAAAAACAAGCTCCGTCATGAAGGGGTTAATGTATGATTTTTTAAAATCAATATATATAAGGGATGCACCGATACCATTTTTTCAAGTACAAGTACTGATACTTGCCCAAATACTCACAGATACAAGTACTGATACATTTTTGTTTATTGTCATGTGACAGTTTTTCTAAAACAATACAGACAATAAACAGGATAGTGGTGGAGCGCCAGAGCCCAGTCACAGCTGCAACCCTGGTAGTTCTCGTGTAAATGCCAAGTATCGGCATTGGTATCGGCACTGGTATCTGAACATCCCTAATAAAAACATTCGCACAGCCTGTGCTTCTGCATATAAGCCAAAAAGGAGAAGGGGAACCACATTGTTGCTAGAGGAAGACCTTCCCTGACTCTGCAAGTCCTTTGGCTTCTGCTGTAGAAGCATATGACTCCAATAATGGTGCTAACTTCATGTCATTGTTATAGCACTGGATCCACTACAGAAAGTGATACCACTGGTGCTTCTACTGGCATAAATGATAACATGATAAGGACGAGAAGCTAACTTAACAAGTGTGCTTGCGGGTTCAGCAACTACGGCATAAGTTTCTGTTGCTGACCATAGCTTTGGTGATATCATAAGAACATGGTCACTGCAAGTGTCAAAGGGGAATCTAAGCTATTTACCTTGAAGTGGGCCATCTACAATTTATGTTCTTCCTAGTGGAGCCCCAAACAAGGAGTTTCCAGTTTTCCTGGAAATCCCCATTAATGTATAAAAACAACACCTATTTTCCTGTTTGTAATTTGCACTTTAATAGAATCGGTTAACCTAAAGTTCATGCTGTTGCAGTTACAGTTTCTATATTTCCTCCTACAGACTGGTATCAAGATAAGGAAGTGCTGATCTGACAGCAGAAAACATGTCTCTAGAGGCCCCGGACCATGAGTCATCTCTTAGAACACTCCACAAAGTACATTTCATGACCTATGCTAGCACTTGACAGCTGAGCTCATCTTACTGTAAGCTTAGTTATAGTGGAGTTCAGCCTCAAGCATTACAAGTAATTGCGTACAAAATACTCAGGAAACACGGCACCTGTGCTTTACCACAAAGCTTCCGTCCAGCCTTCCATTCATAACAGACTGATGACACGTTGTGAATGCAAACGGTGTGGCCATTTAGCGTTGACTGAATCAAAACACAAACAGGGTTATTCACAAAAGGGTGAAGATTTTGGAGAAGGCCGGAGAGAACAAGAAGGGAACAATCTAGGCCAAATTAGCCGATTTCGAAAAATTCTCCCAATCAGCTCACTTTCCAGTTCACTCCATGTTGTTCTAAATTGTTCACTTCTCCTGCCTGGTCCAATCTCTTCACCCTTTAATGAATAACCCCGAAAGTTTCAGCTGTTCATATGTATGAACACATTAGTACATTTTATTTAGGGGTACTACAAACAAAGTGACTTAAAATTAGAAGTTAAATCTTAAAA